CTGGTATGTGTGTGCAGCTGGTGTGCGTGCGTGCATGTGTGGATGCACGTGTGTGAGTGTGTGTACGTGTATGTGGCTGGTCTGTGTGATAGAAATATATAGATATCAATCAGAAAAGCAACAGAAAATGAAACAGGGTGTGGTCTCCTCCAGAGGAAAAGACACCTGCACAGCCCTGAGATTACAAAAAAAGTGCCTATGGTTGGTGTGTGTGTGTGTGTGCTTGCGTGTGTGTGCGTGTGTGTGTGGCTGTTGTGTGTCCTGTTTCAGATGCAAATGACTACTATCCTATATAATAAAAGGCTAATATGTAAGTTGTCCCCTTGACCGGGAGTTCGACCAGGGGGGGGGGGCCAGCCGGCCAACCACCCATGTCCATGAACTCGTGCATCGGGCCTCTAGGGAACACATACTGAGGCTGAAATCATTGGCCATGTTGGGGACCTGGACTCAGCTGGTTTTAAGCATAAATCGGGTGGGGGTGGGGGTGGGGTGGGTCTCATCATCTCCCCTACGGTCCCTGCAGCTTCGTCCATCGCGCTGTCTCACCACGTCCCCTGTCTCAGCACTTCCTGCGATTCCGACGCCCATGAGGTCTGACTGCGCACCCTCCTTGGATAAGGGGAGGACTGTATGGACTGAACTAAGGACTTGATTTTTTTTAAAAAATATTTTTTTATTTGTTTCAGAGAGGAAGGGAGAGGGAGAGAGAGAGAAAAATCCATGAGAGAGAATCATGGATCGGCTGCCTCCTGCACACCCCGCCTGGGGATCGAGCATACAACCCAGGCCTGTGCCCCGAACAGGAATCGAACCATCACCTCCTGGCTCATAGGTCGACGTTCAACCATTGAGCCACGTCGGCCGGGCAAGAGGTGATTTTTTAAAGGAAACTGCACCGTGTTACTCTCTAACTCGACTCTCATGGCCATTTCTGAGGCAGTGAAGAAATCCATTTGACACCCACGGGGAGATAAAATAGTAATTTGATTCAGCACAGGATGCGTGACGTTTCCAGTGAAAGTTCCAGCTTCTGGGAGTCTCCGCCAGTGTCGAATTCACTCTGCAAGTGAAGAAACCAGCCGACTCGTCCACGAGGAGACCACAGGGTGTGGCGACCACACTCAGCACGACCCAGAGCCCGTGGGATCGAGTGAGGAGCCGTGAGTGACGAGCTCTGACAGGGAGGCAGGAGCCAGACGCGGTCACGTGGACGTGGCTCGGCTGGCGGGGCCGGGGCCGGGGGTGGTGCTGGGCGCATCTGTGCGGAGCCCACCCGGGGCCCGCCTTCTCTCTTTTTAATTTGGACTCATTCTTGAACTATCAGCAGCGTGGTGTTATATACAACATTCCGGTGTTATTGTTTTTCCTTTAGGAAAAACGCTCATTGCTTTTATTGCCACTTTTCAGGGAAAAAGCCCTTCCAGGTGTCCAGTTCTCGCCTTTTCATTACGTCGCTCGGTCGCCGTGCTCCATGGGACGTTTAATTTGGTGGCTAATTTGTAACTGAATTTTTCATTTCTTCAGAAGTGTATGAAGTGCTCTTTTCCGTTCCTCGCCGACAATGGCTTTTCCCTCCCGTTTTCTAATATTTAATGAAACCATAGAAGAAACCAAGAAGCCTTTCAGAGCAGATGGTTCCAATTCACAGGGCCCGTCGGAGCGGCCTGCCCTCCCGGGACGGCCTGTGCTCATGCGTTTCCCTCCCGGTCCATCCCACCAGCAGCCATTCTCACAGCACTTTTTTATGTGCAACCCTGTCGGCCAGCGGGGGAGGCTTATGACCGTGAGCGAGGCGATGCCGGTTCCCAGGGACGGCCGCGCACAGATGAGCGCTCCAGCCTCGGAGTTTGCAGAAGCCAACATCAAAGTGAGAACTGGGAGCCCAGACGACAAAGACAGGGAGGTGGACGCTGCGGGAGGCGCCGGGAGCGCGCTCCCCAAAGAAGACTCAGGAGCCAGTTCCTTCTGTGCTTTCCAGGAGGAGGACGGCTCCGAGGGGGCGGAGGGTGGGCGACTGGCAGCTGTGCCCGAGCGCCCTCTGCGCAATGTTCCGCCCACCAGACCGGACCAGCTGCTCTGAGACCCCCTGGATGGGAACAGGCGAAAAGGGGGCCCAGCCGCTGCACGGGGGACAGACCCCAGTGTTGCTCTCTGTGGCGAGCGGGCTGCCACCCCCTGACATGTAAAATCCACGTGTGTGAAGAGAGGCTACACATGTACATGTGACCCACACCGAGTGTCCTGAGCATTTAGGGGCACATGTGTCGTGTGCCCCGTGCGTGTGCTGTCTGCTCCACGCCCCGCAGCCCCGGCACGTGCTGCCTGCGACCAGTGCGCAGACGGGAGCTGAGCCTGCGGGCGAGGCGCGTGCCGGTCCCCGAGCCGCAGGTGGGGCTGCTCTGTCCACAGTCTGCCTTCCTCCGTGGTGCCACACCTCCCGGGACTCCGTCCCTCGTCACCTGCTCACCCTCCTGATCAGGGACGAGTCAGAATCGGCCAGAAGGACATCCGTACACAGAGGAATGGCCAGGAGGCGTGGAGGGACGATGACCACGGTCAGGGCTCGCTGGGCCTTGTGCCCCAAGAGGCTCCGTCCGGTGCCAGCAGTGCTCCGGGCGGCACCTCCGGATGCTGGTTCCCAACAGGCAGGGGAAAGGCCGACTGTCCAAATGGCGCTGAGACAGGAGGACGCTTCGTCAGGAAGGGAGTCGGGCCCTTAAATCCGGTGCGTCCTCGGGTCCCAGCACAGCCCACGTTTGCATGGCGTCCACACCTGGCGCGTCTCTCCCTTTCTGCACCGACACCCGAACCTGCTGCTCCAAACGCTTCTGCAAAAACCTCGGGAAGCAGCCGCGAAACACAGGTGGGGGCCAACTAAAAACTGTTAACTACTTAGGTTAATCCTTCTGATTCACTGCAATGAGTGAATCTTATAATTCCGTGGTCGGCAAACTGCGGCTCTCGAGCCACATGTGGCTCTTTGGCCCCTTGAGTGTGGCTCTTCCACAAAATACCACGCGGGCGCACACGTACAGTGCCATTGGAACTTTGTGGCCCATGCGCAGAAGTCGGTATTTCGTGGAAGAGCCACACTCAAGGGGCCAAAGAGCCGCATGTGGCTCCCGAGCCACGTTTTGCTGACCTCTCGTTTAGGGGGCTGGCGCACGCGCTGGAGTGTTGGCTGATGCAAAGCGGAGAGAACTTTTTAAAGTTGTCTTCGGGTCTGGGCCTCTGATCACATGGTGAACCAGCAGTTGGACTTTTCTGTCCTTAGATGATAAAATATTATCTTAATTCGACCGGGAAGCTCTCTGGGGGGGAGGGGGGACAAAGAATTATTATTTAGGGAGTTTGCATTTAGCTCAGACTAGCAAAGCCTGCATAGTCATATTCAGAAATATCACCAAACCATTATAATTTCCAGCCAAAAGTAGAAAACGTTATTTTTGACTCACGGCTGACACGGGATAAAAATAAACGGCGACTAGAAACCCCAGCGCGAGAGATCTGGGTGGTACAGACGGCACAGGAGGAGCTGGAGGCGTGGGTCTGAGGACTCCGTGGGGGCCACACAGGGGGGCCTGTCACAGGCACGGGGCGGGGACCTGGAGGCCACGTATGTGGCACCGGTGGTAACAGTAACCCTGGGAAGGAGCCGGCGTGGCAGGCCCCTTGCACCCGCCATGCAGACCCAGCAGTAATCTGAACTCAGAGGCTCACGCACCAGGAGGAGGGGTGTCCGTCTCCTGCTGCGGTTTGGGGGGGAGGGGAGGCGTGTCTCAGGGCCGTGTGCTGTGTTCCTTTAAGGAAACCCGCCGCCTCGAGTTTGGGTGGGGATGGGGACCCCCTGGACGGGAGCCCCAGGTTCTGCGTCTTCTCTGTCCTTCGAGGCCCTGATGTCTCCTGTGAGGTGCAGCTGTGTGTCCCAGACACAGCGTAAGCCTCCTCCTCCACAGGGTCTGTGGCCCGTAGGATTTGGTCTGTGTTTAATGCCAAACTCATGATCGGAAAAACAAGCAACGGCCCAGCCGGCTGGCTCCGCGGTTGGGCATCGACCTATGAACCAGGAGGTCCCGGTTCGATTCCTGGTCAGGGCCCAGGCCCGGGTTGTGGCTCCATCCCCAGTGAGGGGCGTGCAGGAGGCAGCTGACGCATGATTCTCTCTCATCGTCGATGTTTCTCTCTCTCTCCCCCTCTCCCTTCCTCTCTGAAGTCAATACAAATATATTTAAAAATAAAATAAACAAGGAGTTTCAAGTTCTAGTTCATGGGATGCCGTTGCTGGCAAGGAGGACCTAGCATGTGACCTTGGGCACTCTCACCGAACCCGGGACAGAATATTCCGGACCGAATCGGCAGATGTGCCCAAGTCCTCTTGAGCAGATTAAAGCGAATCCGGGGAGGGTGCCTGTCCTGAGGGTGAAGACGGGCATGGGTGCCTGTCGAGTCTCAGCCTTTCGGGGGAAGAGCAGCCCCCGTGGGGATGCCTGGGTCCCCTTGTCCTGTGAACACTGAGCAGGTCGCCGTCAGCCACCGTGCAGTTCCGGCTCCTGAGCCACCGGAGGCGGCTCCTCGGCTGGTTTTTTTTCTATAAACGGGAATCCAGCGGAGACCAAGGTCTAATGTATCTGTAGTTGCATCACTTCTCATTTAAGAACTTTAAAGTGTTAACTCCTGTTCCTGCCCCAACGTGGTGGTGCAGGGCGAGGGGCACGCTGACCTTCCCAGAGAAGGAGGTGCCGTGTGGGGCACCAGAGGTCTCAGGGACACGGTGGACGGGCAGCGGCGGGGGTGGGGCTCCTCACGCTTCCTGGTGTCGGCCTCGCGGTTTCGGGGATGGGGGGGGCGCGGGGGACTCAGGGCCCAGAGAGCGCGTGTGATGTACCCGGAAAGCCACAGCACTGTGACCGCGTCAGCATGGGAGAACATACGTTCGTAACGATTACTGATGATGGTTTTGGAGCCCAAATAATCTCATTCCTTGTTTCCCCTCGTAGGTTCCATAAATGAAAAGTTACCTCAACGGGAAGGCACGGGGAAAACAGGTAACTGCTTTAAATTTAAAGTGAATTCCCATGACGATATCTATTGTATCGGATCCAGCCTGTGCCTTAAGCTAGCTTCTCAAGTTAACATGCAAATTTGAGCTCGTAATGACCATGAGAGCCAAGGCAGTCTGTTCAATATCCATCCACAGGTGTGGAGGCTGGGCTTGTGATCTGCCCCCTGTGCCCACCTGTGCCCCCCGTGCCCACCTCGGGGCTTTCAGCCTGGCTGGTGCCGGGACCCCCGTCGATGGTGGAGGCACCCCTCCCGAGGCCATGGCCGGGGAGAGGAGTCACGTTCAGTGTCTGGGCTGTGGCACATGCGATCCCAATGCCTCCCTGGCAGGACGGGGGTCTGTTATGAAGGGAAACGTGCAGGTTGGCACAGGAGCAAATGCCAACCTTGTGAGGGGCCCCTCTTCCTCTCGGTGACGCCCCTCGCTGTGCTGGGCTAGCTCACACCCACGGCCCAGTCACTGGCCCAGGCGGGGACCTGCCCAGGCCTCAGCCACACCCGCAACCCTGATGGTCCATCGATTGTCCTCCTCCAAAGCCCTTGCGATGAGCAAAGGCTGTTCTCAGTGTGTCCTTTTAAGGGTTTCATTTACAACCGCGGTTATTGTACAGCAAAGCCACGCGGTGCGCGCAGGGACACGCCGGCTGGGCCTCGGAGCCCACAGCGCCTGTGACGGTCCCTGGGCCTAGGGGCGCACTGCCCCCCGCTGTGTCTCAGAACCCAAACCTTACACCTGACCAGGAGGCCCAGAGTCTTTCCAAAGAGTTAAATCAAGATGGTTCATTTGGAACATGAGTCGTCAGTGAGATGACCCAGTTCATTCGTATTCCCGGTCCCTTTCCTCCATTCTCTGCTCTGCCACTCTTGGCCCCGCCCCCATCACCCCCCACACCGAAGGGGCCCCCAGTGTCGTTCTGCTGCCTAGTGTGTATGTGGGGGGGGGATAGCAGTTCAACCAGGAGACCTTCATCCCCGCCCGACCCCTCGGGGAAACGGGCACAGCCAGTGTCCACCTGCCCAGCCCCTGCCAGGCCCCGCCCACAGCCCTGCCAGGCCTCCTCAGGACCTGTGGCCACCTGACCTCCCGAC